AGAATATATTAACATAAAATGTTATATATTAACATAAAATGTAACCTTGTGTCTGTCTTGAATTATAATTTAAGATACAAGTGTTATTTTATGTCTAACGAGCACAATTAATGTCCATTTTGAAATGTATTGAACAAATTCATATTTTACGATCGCTCAAATTGTAGTTATGTCTCTCCTTCACTATAAATTGAGATGTGACAACACAACAGCTACTATACAATTAGCAAACACGCAAACTACCCCTTTCCCTCCACCTATAATTTACTACTTTTATAAACAGCACCTTAACAATTGAGTTAAAAACTGGTGATTCCGGTCTATGGATTGTCGAAAATAAATAGTGCTGGGTTCACCTTTGGGTACAATGTGTACAGTGCGTAAAGAGAGAGCGACAGTACTTTTCATTTCTTAAATCGGGTTTCACATGAGTGTTTCCTGGAGCTTACGCGCGGACCAGTATACAATTTCGCTTAAAAATGCATTTGTTTGCAGTCGGATTCGTTTCCTTCGTCCTGGATGGTGGCTGAGGTGTTTAAGGTTTCATTTTTTGAGGATTAAAACAATTGTTCACTGAGAGTGTTCAGCGACAGCAATAAAAACAGGAAAGGTATATTGTGTTGGAGTCAGTGAGAGAACAAGGCACTGCCTTGTAATCGAGCGCCGGGTTTACCAGAAGCTGCAGCTCTGCACCTGCCGCCTCCTTGAGCGCATTCTCTGAGCTCACCTCCGTGCAATCAGAACAGCAGGTACACACACACCTCCGTATCCAGTGCTGAACTGAAAGCCAGGAAACGCAATCACACAGCACAGAGAGGAAACACTTTTCAAATGTCCCCCCAAAAAGACACAATGAAGCTTTAGTGCAAACGACAGTGATCAAGAGATTACTTACTGTTGACGTATCTTAGCTTGTGATTTTTTTGCGTGGAGTTAAAAAAAAGGCAGAGAAAACATTATTAAAGAATAGAGTTTTGATTTGGGGGAAACGTGGGGAGCAGTTATATACTGTAGCATTGCAGAATGTCGAAAAATATAAAACAAATAGCATAACATCTTGAATAAAGTCATTATTTTACTTTTGGCACGGCTTTGATGTCACAGAATCGATTTGTTAAGTCAGTGCATTATCACATGAGCTCTGCCTCACACCTACAGCTAGTCGTGAGTTAGGAAACATTGACTAATAACAGTCTACCTATTCAGTAAAAAGGTCGTGAATTCCTGCTGGGTTTTTCTTTGCAAAGTTCAGTTTGGTCACCACAGACTGAATGATTACGCACAGCTTCAATTCCATATACCTGTATGAGATTGCTATAGAAATAACAGGAAAGGGTTAATTAAATGATACTTGAAGAAGTCGCCTTTCTTAAAATCATCCATATCAAGAAACATGTGTACCTCATTAATATACTTCACATATTTCAGATGTAGTTACTCGATTACCACAACCGAAACTTTAACCTAAAACATGTTCTGTTCGCGTGAAACAGTGTTTATTCTGTGCTCAAGAAGTGGAGGGGGGAGACGGCTCTTTCTGAAAGTGTGCTTTTGCATTAAAAGTGAGTATCTGAGATCCATTGATGGATATGTTAAAAGTACAGAAATACGATCGCCGTTTATCCGTGTGAGTAAATCGTGATGAGATAGATAGAGTCATTAACATATGACTGGCGCGGCGTGAAAGAGTTTAAAATCCTCTGATGAATGCGATCCGCAGGTGTGGAGGAATTGTTTTGTACGTGAAATATCTTGATTGGTGGTTCTCTCCAGCCATGGTGTATGCTTCAAGCCCAGAGAACGCTGCTTAACATCAGTGCCTAAAATACTTTCACCCAATCAACTTGCAAACACAGTCATCCCCTCCCCTCTTTTGTAAGCCTTCAGTATGACACCTTGTACAATCAATTAATTCCAACTTCAGCAAAGTAACGATTACGGCCATTGTGCGAAACAAAACAGGAAAACGCGCTTGATATCGAAGAACGTCAATAAACCACCTGCCAGTATTTCAGACTTCATCCCTTTATCAGATGGGCGAAGAAAGAACTTTGGGGGAAATTAAGCGGGAGTTTGTGGAAAAAAAGATGTAATTTGCAACTAATCTTTTGATTCCCTCCCCATAAAAAAGTTACTGCTGTCCATTCCTTCAACATTTCCATGTCTATTTTCAGTACTCACATTAAAATAATTACTGAGTCTGTTAAAGCTCAACATGTTTAAGGAAGCGTTAGTAAACACCCTTTCTCTCTCTCTAGATACGTGTTCTAAATGTAAATTGTAAGTGCAATGACATATAAACAGTTGTGAACTAACTGCAAATAAAATGGAAGATGGATAGTATGATGTTATTATCTTGCGAGATTTAAGCAATGTGAAAGCTCGAGGAGCCTGGGCAAGGAGCTGGGGTTGTCAGTGGGGAAAGAGATTGCTGTGGTCCTTTTGGCTGCTCTTTGCCAGGACCAGTCTAGTGCTCTGCAGGAATTTAAAATTCTAATACAGAACAAACAACCCGCCCCTTAAATTAGTGTAGACAGAAAGAGAAAAGGGTCAGACAGCAATGCTGATTAAACATTAACCCTCTGAGTGCTGTTTACAGCATTCCTGTGATCACATTGCAGGGCGAGTATTGCAGTTCCACTTCACTTCAAGAAAACAAGTACGTTTGTCATGTATTTTCTTATACTCAGATTCACTTCTCAGGACAAATTTAAGATGTGCTTATTATTAACATCCAGCAGTGAGAATTCCATTATGATATAAAAATAATAGTTGGCCGCAACCAATGTTAGCGTAATTCATGGAATATCAACTTAGATACCAACAGTTCAACTCAAGCATTCGGCTCTGCCGCCCAGGGAACTTCAGAATTAACCATGATAAAACACGCCACAGTTGATGTTATTATTGGGGAGAACAGCAACCGGTAGAATAACATATTTTCAGCTTATTTACTGTCACTCCTTTCCGTCGTTTAACCGGTTGCAATTTGTGTTTTTTTTTAAATCGCTTTCTTCTCGTGATTTCAGCCCAGCGGAACCGAGACAAGAAAACTATCCCTGGTCAGATCTTTAACCCCCCGCCCCGCTCTCTGGTAGCAGACTACTAAATCGTAATCGTTTTAGGCAACAACAGCAGCATGAAATAAGGTACAACATAGGAACAGACTGAATTTGGCAGTGCAATGCATCGTTTAGATTTCAAACTAAGAAAGGAAATTAAACGATCACCAGCAAATACCAGCAAATACCAGCAAAGCGCGACAGCCCCGAAGACTATTTTGTTAAAGTCCTTTCATGATCACTTTAGTGGAACTGCAGTGCCGTCTAATTGTTTAGCCCTTTTTTTGGTGAAGCCTCGGTCAATTCTGCGGCAATAATTTGTTGTGATTCTCAGGTGAAATCGTCTGCAAACAGACGAATTAAAGCGCCCCGAAATGAGCAGGCACTTGGAGGCATTGAGGGGAGAACACAGAAGTTTTTTGGGGGGAGAGTACATTTCAGGAACTTTTTTTTTAAAAAAAGGCTTGTTAAAAAGATGAGTCTTTTCATTGCTCGCGTTACCTCTGACAGCCGCTGTCTTTTTTCTTCGGTCCTTAATCCGCATCGTAACGCGTTTTTTTAAACAAAAACACACACACACACACACAAAACCGGGTTCCACGCGGCGCTTTAGTGACTAAAACTGAAAGAGCCGCTTTACAAGAGCTCAATAGTATGAATCGCTTTTGGAAAATTGGCTGTTCTGAATAGATGAATGAGGAAAACGTTTAATCTGGTCCCGGGGAGGTTGTGAGACTGAGATCTACCGGTGCCACAGGTGGAAGGAAACAGGACTTTTCCCTTATATACACACTCTGTAAGTACAGAGTCAGACACAAATTTAATTTTCTGCTGTATGCTTTTTGGAAGAAATCTGTATAAATCTTGGTTGTTGACTCCTTAGTCAGAATATGGGGATAATTTCGCTCAGGGAATCGCCACTGAATTTGCACGCAATGTACAGTTTAAGGATTGATCAAAATTGGTGATCATTTGCGGTCGCATTTTTTAACGTTCATTGAGACTTCGAGTTGTGGCAATGAAATCTAAAATGATTGTGTTTTTTTTGAGAAGCGCCTCGAATGCTTTGCTTCATGTCCTCGCAATGTGTTGTCACAGCCGCCTCGTTTATCATGCAATATTTAAATCATTTCTGTTTATATTGGATCTTCAGTAAAGAAGCTTAAATTAAAGTATTGTGCTTTATAAATAATGTGAGAAGGTAATTTCTGTGAAGAGTAAATAATAACTAATAATAAGGCGACGGTTGTTCTGTCTGGCTATTTTCTTAACGATTTCATTAAGAAGCCCATAAGCGGTGTGTAAGCAGGCTTTGCTGAAAGATTAAAAACATATTAAATGCACAATTATGTTTCCCCCCCAGCCCCACCCCCCCTCCCCCTCCAGTCTTCGCCCACAAGCGCAAGCACAAGGGTGCTGGTGGGAGATGGGAATGGGCTGATGTGATTTGGATGTCACCTTGCTAAGTGACTTCATGTGATGTCAGCTAAATGCAGCAGACAGTGATCTCACACTGATGAGGATGTGTGCTATCAAAATGTGACAGTATAGCCACACGCAGTCCTTGGATAATCTTCTCCGCGCTCTCTCGCTCGCTCTCTCTCTAGTAAACGTAGAGCCCGTTAGGAATAGAAGGAGGCGTCTGGCACATCACTCCTCAGTAAGTTAGCAATCAAAATTTCCAATACCGAACTAGTCAATAGTGAATATTCATAGAATACTATCTTTTTTTAAAAATCTATCAGCAACGTTTTTTCGCTCTCCTTGTAATTCTTTTATTCGCTGCTTAATGAGCATTAATCTGGTGCCCCTCGGTGCCATTGTTCATGAGATGTTGATTTGAATGTAAATGGGTGACATGCCAAACGCAAGGTGCTTATTAAATTGATGTGTGTCTTGGCTTTCCTGGAATGCAGGGGAGATCAGAGCGGCTTGTAGTGAACGCTGCTCACACCAAGTCCTGGGATGGCAAGCTCTGAGCACTTGGACACAGTTGTGTCCTGTCCCAGGCAGACTGCAAGGAATGGACCCTCCGCCACTACATGCGGTGGTGGAGCCACCCCAAAGGCACTGGCCTTCTCCATCGAAAGAATCATGGCTAAAAACTCAGAGCCCAGGAGCCCCATAGAGCAAAGACAAAGCTTGGAGAAAGCAGAAGGCAAAAAGGCTGGGAAACTCTGCTCTCCCGTCCCGTGCATGCTTCCAATCCAGTCTTTTCCCTACGACTTGCAAGCTAAAGCTCTCCTGAACTATTCGGAAGTATGGAAGACTAATCTGAGGGGGTCCCTGTGTACTTCTGCGGCTATGTGTAAATCAAACTGTGGGATGTGCTGCAAAGACTTAACTTTAGGCCATTCTATGACGGCTACAGGCAGACTGATCAAACCCCAAGTCATAAACCAAACGCTGGCCATGCCCGCCAACGGCTCCCTTTATTATTTCAACTATCTGGACACGACCTACCACCCTTCAGAATTGCTTCATGGACACCACATCTTCCCCTCTCACATCCTGGGCTCCCAACCACCAGCCTCGCTCTCTGCTCACCAGAAACTACTTTTGTTGGAAAACGCTAAATTTGCAAGTTTGGCTGCCGAGAAATACCCAAGTCCGCAGTTTCCTCACAAAGAACGCATCCCGGGACAGCTGGACCAAGTGATCAAAGAGAACAGCGGCTTCCCAGTCGAGAAGAATGTAGTGAAAGGCCATCAGAAACTCAGCAACACTCAGAGTGACGGCAAACCCAAAAACTTCACCTGCGAAGTTTGCGGAAAGGTAATAATGTCAGGAGGAGTATGTTATGTTTGTTATCTTTCCCACTGCACGAAGGTTTTTTTTAATCATTGATACTGCTTTACTGTCTGTACAAAAAAAATTACTCGGCTGACATGGCTGGATTTTTTATGGTTAGCATTTTGGTGTTTTTTTCCCCTTCTCTAGGTTTTTAATGCACATTATAATTTAACCCGCCATATGCCAGTGCACACCGGGGCCAGGCCGTTTGTGTGTAAGGTTTGTGGGAAAGGATTTCGACAGGCTAGCACACTCTGCAGACACAAAATAATCCACACTCAGGTACGTTATATCTCATTCTATCCTAAACTCCAGTCAACAACCCATTTAGCACTATAGTGCTTGTTATTATTAGTCGCCTTTTAGCGCGGTTGCTTTAGGTTACTGCTTCGGTGACATGTAGATTCTTACATACATACCATTTGGGCAATATATTGCATTTTGTTCACTTGTAAACTTATTATAACATTTTTTTTTCATTTCTAAAAGCACAGTTCTCGATTCTGCGAGTGTTCCTCGGTTCAAATATAACCCAACCGTTAAATTAATGGTTTTAGGTTGAAATGTGTGTGTCTGTGTGTGTCGTGTTTTGCCGAAGTGTAATCAGATAGAGGAATTTCTCCCTTATGCAACCAACTGTGAAAAACAAACGGTTTCTGTCGTTCATTCCCAGGAGAAACCTCACAAATGTAACCAGTGCGGGAAAGCTTTTAACAGAAGCTCCACTCTGAACACTCACATCCGGATTCACGCCGGCTACAAACCCTTTGTTTGCGAGTTCTGTGGCAAAGGCTTTCACCAAAAAGGTACCTTAAAAACAATTTCTACTTTAATATCAATCACTATTCTGCCCAACGAATAAACCTTTCGCTCCGTGAACTCGCCATACTTATCCCTTGTAACTATCTTATTGTTACCAATAAATGTCAATTCACCTGAAATCCTTAACCGAGAATTTTTACACCACCATATTTATAATCCCGTTATTTTCATTTAACATAATTTACTCGATATTAATGGTTTAATGCCGTCACTGTAATTTAACAATTGCAAATGTATTCACGAACATTATGTTGGCATATGTTCTATGCTGTAAATAATATTGCAATGAATGTTAGTGGCATATATCCTCCTTCGAAAGTAAAATCCCCACATTCTTTATCTAAAATCCCCAAGTCATCGGAAGTAACAGCGTCATTAAGAAACTTTTTTTTNCCCTCCAAGGGTATAGTTGACAGACTGAATTCAAACTATTTCAAATCAGACGTGTCATTTTGAACTAACCCTCTTCTATGGCTCCTTAATTTGGGTTATGGGTCAAAAGCTTGACCTCTATTTAATTCCTAATCTGACAGTTTTATGCGATGCTTACTTGATCCAGACAAAGTTTGACAACTTTTTGACTCCCATACGCGCACACTAACACAAGACTGCTTAATGAAGCTGTACTTTTTCTTAACATTGAAATTCCCTCATCTGAAATTAACTTAATTGTGAACTCTTGACCCTGGGAGGGAGGGGGAACTTTCACTAACGTTGATTTTCTTCTGTTTTTTCCCCCCACCAGGAAACTACAAGAATCATAAACTGACGCACAGTGGAGAAAAACAATTTAAATGTAATATCTGCAATAAAGCCTTCCATCAGATCTATAATTTAACGTTTCATATGCACACTCACAACGACAAAAAGCCCTTTACCTGCGCCACTTGCGGGAAAGGATTTTGCAGGAACTTTGACTTGAAGAAACACATAAGAAAATTACACGACAGTACGGCCCCGCCAAGTGAACCCCCATCAAGGGGCGGCCAAAGTTAGTCACCAACTTCTATCCTTTTTTTTGTGGGAGGACAATCGTTTCTGTATATTGCATTTTCAAGTATGATCCATCTGAGATTTGCAATGCACTAAAATGTTCTTCACTTTATACATAGTTATGCAGCGGTGACCATTTCCATCAACGCATTTCACATTTGAATTTGTCCGTTTAAAACGTCTAGAATTCTGATTGCAAAAAAAATCGAGAAACCACAGCATGTTTGCGCGCTACAATTTTTCAAAAAAAAGTGTTGCGTATGAATAGTAATGTAAATATTCACATTCAATTATGTGTTACAGCACATTATTTTTTTTCTGTACCGTAGTAATTTATACCTGAGACTTATTGGGTATTGGTTAAAAAAAATGAAACTTTCAAGTATTTGTTAGAGAGATGATTTGTTTGCAATTCTGTAACTTTACATTTTGTTGTAAAACTTGAATGTGTATGACTATCTGCAAAAAAATAAAGTTTCCAACGATACGTTTATGGGAATTGCACATATTCGCAAATAAATCAAGTGCGTAGAATGTTTGATTTCTTGATAGAGAAAGAATATCGCCTTTCACTAAAGTAATGTGAACTCGAATACGGTATTTAAACCGTTTTAGATAACTTTCTTTGCCTTCATGTTGCATTTATTCCGAACCTCGATGCTTACTTTACGCAAGTTGATAATATGGACTAGCTTTGCTACAATCTCATTGCATCAAATGCGCCACAGAACAGTTTCAAAGTACAGATATTAATACTCTGGCCCTCCTACACGATTATTTTTGCTATCAACCCAAAAGCGACTGCAGTCATGTTTGTGCCAAGAACACAGAAGCTGTTATCACATTCTCCAAACACAGCAGATGGACGAATTCGACGTTTTCAATGTGAAGATTGGTCAGTGGATGTGTTCCCAGTATTTGGTCTTTCCTTAACATTCCATTGTTCAAATAAAAACGTTTCTAACAGATTGTTCCGCATCGTGTGAGCATTTCATCCATTCTTTCAATTCACAAGGAATTAGGTCTTTCGGTATGATACAAAACGTCATTCGATTTCGTTTTGATTTGAATTCGTTTATTCTAAAATAAACGCTACTTTTAATAATAATAATCCCTGCATTTGATATAAGCGCCTTATCACGTCGTTGAGACGTCTCAAAGCGCTTCACAGAATATACTGAAAAGTGAATTGACTACATTTTGTGAGCGAAAATAAAATAAACATAAGGTGTAAGGCACAAAATATACTAACCTGCAAAATGGTTTGGATGATTTTCATCGGAAAACACGTATCATTAGTGTGGTCGACAAGTCAAAAAGACTTTTTTTAAAATAATGCAATCTCACTCGACAAAGGAACTCGGAGTTTAGAGAAAACACTTGTTTATATATGCAATGTTCTAATTGTATGTTTCTTATAATGGAGAAATCGCAGAATATCGACAGTACTTTTCACAACTTCAGCAGCTTGAGATGGTAGTGCGTCAATTGCTTAATCGAGGAAAAAGAAATCGATTAATGATAAAATAAATTATAAAGATGAAGTTGGAACTGTCAGCCGTTTATCATATTTTCAGCTTTCATATTGCAATACAACTCAGTCCTGAGAGAATTTAGACCAAAGAAAATGAGAAACGCCTCTCGCCTAATTTCCCCCAAGTAATTTTCATTCTTCTGAATAATCTAAGACCATAGGCGGTTGTAATTGGAGGGTTATTAGTGTAACAGGACATTTTTCTGAGCGATTGGAGGCACGAAATTAACCAGTTTAGGTAATTGAGCTTGTTATTCATGTAGATTTGAGTGTCTCTTCTCGACCTGCCTACGTTTGCCAACAAATTACTGAGGCTTTTTATTGAGAAAGCCGCTCTGAAATGATCCCACACTTGATTTGCGAGGAAAATGATCAAAATCAGGAACAGCGCGCCCTTCAGAAATGATAAAAGTAATCAGATAAACTCTCCCAGGGAAAGACATTTCCATATCAGCCATTTTGATGAGATGGTGGATAATAAAGTACTTGGGTTTTTCAAATACTTCTTTTGCAATGTCTCGTCCCTTTCAATACGGGATAATTTATTCTCCCCACGTCTGGACCAACAAAATTATTACAGTGTACCAACATAATTTCGATTTCAGCCTGATGCGTGCTGCTCACTGTACGTTTCTCAATGAAATTTAAATTAACCATTAACAGTGAACTGTCCAGGGAGTGATTAAAGGGGTAATAATTTGAAGAGAATTGCATGTGTACCTTTTTTACAGTTAATTGAGTGGCTAATGCAAGAGATTGCTAGATTGAGTGAGATCCACGCATATCACCATGTGCTTTGGGGAAAATGTTGTGTTCTTTTAATTAAAGTCGAAACAAAAGCGGTTTACTAATTACGTTAAAGAGCCTTGTTAGACACAAAAACCTTCACCGCGGTTCGATCTATTACAGTTTGCTGCACACTGGTGTCAGAAACTGCAATTAGAAATTGTTTGCTGTATTATGCACAAAGCAAGACCTCACTGAGCGCTCAAGGCCCCTTCATGGCCCTCATGCCTTCAGCCGCCTGATACCATTCCTATCGCTTCCAGCACAAGCACTGTCCCTGTCTCTTTACTGGCTTCTCTCAACGGCAATGGAGAAAGACTGGAGCGTTCACTGTAACTAACACATGATCGTGAGCGACAATTTTAAATGCTAACAACACAATACACCGGTCTACAACACACCCAGTCTGCACAGCTCCGGCCCTGGTGAGCAGCTGGCAATTGTCACTTCTTGAAACAAGCAACTGTGTGGATTTTTCTGCACTGTTGGAGCATCACAATCAAACCCACACCCCACATTGCATCAAACAGCTCACAGTGAGCACCTTGGGTCCCAGAAGAAGAAAAAATAACCGGTTGCAACTGTGACTTGAAACCAAGGTTTGTGCCAACTCGCTCCAACTTTCTTTTGCTGAAGTATATTGTGTGTCTCTCCCGATGCTGGAGAAATACATGCAACTAATTCATTGGGTTCTTTACCACAGCTTTTATTTTAAAATATGTTTGTTAGTTAACGGTATCAAGGAGTTGAGGTACCGATCAGCCATGTTCTCACAGACTGGCAGAACAGGCTCGAGGGGCTGAGTGGCCCACTCCTGTTCATACTCTATGTTCCTATATCAATAATGTGACTGTCCAACTGTAAAATCACATTTCGACTTAAAATATTTGTAAAGTGATTTAATTCAATCTACACAACATTCCCCACGCTAAAATCCTTATATTAAACTACATTTTAAGAGATTTTATTCCTTTCAGATACAACAGCTGCAGAGGTTTTGTTTTATCCGTCTGTGGAAATATCTTTCAAGACGTTAAAAAAAATCTACCGTATTTTTAAACGCGGAAAGGTTGAATCTTACAGGTACATCAGAGGCACTGTATACATTTCTACGATGTGACCACGTAAAGAACATTTTCTAATGTAATATCCTATAAATAATTCACAGATGTTACATTCCAATGTGAGTTTGCAGTAAGAGTGCAAAGCTATTTGCTGTTAAACTAACTGGCGTTACAACACTTTCAACTTTGACCAGAATCTCTATTGCTCTGGGCTATTTTTAAAATGCTGCTAAAATCATTGAACTTGCCATTCACAAATAACACATTGTATGGCTCGTTACAAGTGTCTTGAGTTTTTTGGAGGAAGATAACATTTTAATCCACTTGGGATGCCAGCAGTAATTTATTTTGAAAAGTCTAAATGCCCGGGACTGACCATAACATTTTGACTATATTAAAATAAATAATGAATTAAAATAGGCCCAAACGTAAAAAGTACATTTTAATTTTCCCCCAAAAGGAAAGTACCAATGGAGAAGAGTTGTCTCACGGGTTGCATAGAGTGAATAAACATACCACATTTATTTTATGCAAATCGCATAATATTCATAAATATAACTGACATAAACATAACCTCATGTTTCAATTAAAAAGGGAAATGTATACCGGCTTCACAGAGAGATCAACCCAACAGGAAATCGGAACAGCCTCCAAGGGATAGAGTAAGCCCCCACTCCCACCACTCCTACACAAATAAGGATAACCTAATGTATGTAACTTATGTACTTACATCCACACACTTGTTTTACAATATATACAAGCTGTAATTACACCGAGGGTATAATATATATTATTATATATATTATGTAACGAGGTTGTTTCATTACAGTCATTTACATTTAAATTTGCTAAAGTCTTCCTTCCAAAAATAAGCAAGTGTCAAGAAAGTGTCTCCTGCTGCTTGGTGTCAATCTATCAATACTTAATATTGATCTGCACAACAGAATGGAATCAAATCTTGATCTGGTCTCTATCAGGATGAAGATGGTTGCCGGTTGCACCGATGGATTTTGTATTGAAATTGTATTTACTGTGAAATTGCATTTACTGAGAATGAGTCGAATGAGAATCTTCTTCACAAACTTATCAGAAGCGAAGTTCCAAAAAATTGGATTGGCATCAGCGTTTGCAAATACAGTGTAATATAAAACCCCATTTTATGTTGGTATAGCTTTCAAACACAGCAATAGTTACTTAAAATGTAGCAGCTTGAATGTGCAGTGGCGATGAAAAGCTACTCTAATTCTTAGCAAGGATGAAGGGCGTCAAAGACTCTGCAATTAAACCGAATCAAACATTGCTTCAGTCTATAACAAATAATTCACTTAGTTTGAATATATCAGGATTTCGGGTATTCACTGAAATCTTTACTCAGTTCTTTGTCTTTAATGGATATTATTGATACCCCAAAATTACCCGTACGCACACTATTTGGGATAGCCACAGGTAAGATTAAATCAGTTTGGATTAGTGTTTTGTGCAGTTCATTAAGAAAAGCAATTATTGTTTTTTTAATTGGTGGAATATATGTGGATAAGCAGTTCTGCGATGATGTGGACTTAAACAAAATCTGCTTTGACTTTTATTTAATGTACCTATTCCTTTAAATAATAGAAAATAGCAACAAGAGCATTACTACTTACA